GTCCTTCATCACCTTAAACGAAATTGGGTGAATACATCTCATACTACTGATTTACTGGTAGTCTTTAAACGATACTTAAGGCGAAAAATAATATTTACTGGTTTTCCTAGTAAAACAATCTTAGAAGAACCACCTGTCTTTTTGACTGGGAGAATTTTGTTAAAAACAGCGATTATAACAATACTAATGCCCTGGGCCCAAGTCCCAATTCTACCACATGTTGATTAGATCGGCGTGAGTATAATCTAAAAAAGAGATTCTCTCTTGTCTAAAAGAAGCACACTTACTGAATGGGTATGCATCAAAATAATGGGTATATCTTGAAGAAATAGATATATATTTGACAAAATATGTCCTGAATATTCTTTTATCTAAATAAAATGAACAACCTGACTATAACTGTAATTACAGTGTTTTTGCTCAAAAGCTGATCATATTGACAAGATATTTGCGCATACATTCAACGCAAGTATGAATGTCATAACTCAATAAAAATAATGCAGACAATAAGGTCTAGTTTTGAGGCCAAAACACCAAATAAGAGGATAGGTTTTAAGGATGACCTACATGCAATTTTGACAGATGGAAGGCTTCCATTCTATTCAGCATCGCTGGTGAGCCTTACCGTTGTCTTTGATGAGTTATAGTTTAGTGCTAATCAAAGGCTGATTGACAATGCTGACTGCAATATCAGCAAAAATGCACAAAGTTCATGGTTGGATGCTGGAAATGATCAGAACTATAATGGCAGAGGACACCGGGCGAAGTTGGTTCTTTGAGGTCGTTCTAGAAACCAGATCAAGCCTCGAGGGCAAAGACAATCCAATTTCATACTCCTATATTTTCCTAGAAATATTGCTCAGTATGGATAGTTGAATGGTGAAAAATAGACAGAACAGAACACGGCGCATTTGGGTTTTCAATCACAAATGGAGTGCAACTATATGCTATATATAGGAAGAAAATGCGGGTTTAGAAGAATCTCCTGAGATATAATTGATGTGAAGTACATGATGAAGAGATTCGAAGGTCAATATCATCAGGAGACGCTGGCTGATTCACGTTTTACAGCATCCATTTGGCATTACTACGACGTCCAGGTTGATGCGATCAACGAGAAAGCCCGTTTTCGTCCGAAACGTTGGAGGACGTTTTGTAGACTGCATCAACCTGAAGGTTGTATTAATGCCAAACAGATGAAATACAACGCGAATCAGCCGACGTTTTTTGGGGAGAATGGCCTACGAATCTCTTCATCATGTACTCCCATATGAAATGAAAGTCTTTATACCAAACTATAGATTAACAAGAAGTTCATCATTCAAGAGCTGTATCAATCAGAAATGATGTGTAGATACATGAGCTTGCCACCAAAATGTTAGCATTTCTTTAGCATAGTATATTCGAATTGGCCTTATACATACCGGATTATTATTATCACACCAAACGAATTACCACCCTATACGAATGGGTCAACATATTCAATCGCTTCAGTTCTAATCTGTCTCATTTTTTCCATGATTTTTCTACTCACTTTTACACCAAACTCCCCAGCAGGCCGTTATGTATGCTTGTGTCTAGTATGTCTTAAGTATCCTCAATACGACTAAGTCAACCAAAGCAAATCGATTCCATAAAGTAAGGAGCTATTTTCTACATGTAATTAATGTCTTCATTCATAGTAGCTATGATAATTCCCAGCAATAGACCATTGATTTCCGTGGCATTACGAACAAGTTGCGAAAACGAGGTCAGACAACTTCAACTATCTCAGAATTAACATTTTATGGTAAGACTATCGCCGAGATAAAGAAATCGCAGGAGATTAGATACTAGGATTATGTGCAAGGGCTTGAAAGAAAAAAAGAACATTACAAATGGAAAATGAACGCACTTCTTCGACAATACACTAAACTTCCTAATGCTTTTGATCTGACAAAATTCATAAAGAATGAATGAAAAGGATATAAAGCATGGCAACTTGATTAAACGTTCCGGTATAGCCTAGATTTACACCAGAATTCTGGTTAGCAGATAAGCACAGGCTTTAGAGTCAGCAATAAAACCGAGGATTGTAGAGCAAAGCTGGTTTTTGAAGAATCTTTTAATAATTTAAGATGACTAAACTTTTAAGTCTGAATAATATGACTGCTTTGGTGCTGAAACAATTAGATTGTGTAAAGTTATCGACTAATCGTCCTACGACCCCCATAAATCCATGCTAAGTTTTCGTCTGTCAGGTCAGAGTATAAAATCAGCCTTTACCAAAATTCATCAAAACATTAGAACAAAAAAAGTGGATAGCAGCAAGCCTACTGCCATTAAACACCGAATTTTGTAATCTTACGGAGGCCAGCCATGATTCTTAAATTCACCTTAAAATAACCTTATAACTTATAGTCGAATTTTCCCATAATGCCATGAGTAAGCCCCATGTTTTATTGAATTTCACACAGCCTTGCTCCCATAAAAGCAATCGCGAACTGAGGTTTCTATCTTGCCTACGTCTCATCAACAGCCCCAGCCTATAAACTAGACACACTAACATTACTTAATCCTGCCACAAGTGCTCTTGGGTTACGAGGCTAGGCTTTTCTCATATCGCGTTTAGAGTGGGATTTTCGATGAGGCAAACTTGTGTTTTGCCATCACACTCGATTGCCCAACCTACATTGATATAAAATTACTTTTAAAACTATAAGGAAATCTTGCATACGAGTTTCATTCACCCTAAGTTGCATACAGAGATGAAAGACCGATAGCGGAGTTTACCCATAATTATATCATTGGGCTTTTCGAGAAGAATGACTAAGCGAAATTCAATATAAATTTGAGGCTTACTCATATAACTGTAGAAAAATGCAACTATTAGTTCTTCATCGCCTTATCCGACATAGAATGACCGAAACTCTTATTCAAGATTAACGGATAGGTTAAAAACCTACTTTATATGAATACCACATGGTTATTTTGGTCAGTTCAAGCTTGGAGGGAACTAACCAATTATGGCAAAAGAAGAAATTTGCCAACGGACCAAAACAGACGTTGAGATCGAAAACAGTTCAACAGATGTTTTCGGCCACATCCATTTCCCTTTACTCATATGCAGCCATGTGAGGGAGGGCATGGAGAAATCTACCAAATCATAAGATACCTCGAAGTTACACTATGAAATGAAGGTATAATTGAAGCTTAGTTTTTGGCGAATTTCGCTGAATTTGGTGATACATGTCACGGTGCGCTATATAAAACCCAGCACAGATTCATTGAGGTTGGATGAGGTTAAGCTAATGACTTTAATGCATAAATCAACAATACCAACGGAAAAGTTGAATCCCTTTAAATTAGTAAAGAATTCTTCAAAGTTCGGCTCCGATCTACAATCTCCGACTTTATTGTTGACTCTAGAGTCGGTGTTTATCCACTGCCAACTGTTTACAATGAGACTGACTATTGTACAACTTTCCGTACGAAACAAAGAGACTATGAAAAATAAAAATAGTAAGAGATCCTTCAAAACTCGGTGTTTTAAGCATATTTTCTCTTTATGCGTTTTCAGATCTAATGACCTGGTCAGTATACTCGTGCCTGCAGCCAACCAACCCTCTAAGACCTGTAAATGCATCTGCCATTCCCGCTGATCTTGCCCCGCCTCCAGGTCCAAAAAAACAATGAACCTTTGAACCTGAAATCTGGTAAGACAAAACGTGAGGCCAATTGTTCAAACTTAAACCAAAGGTCTCTCTCGACATGCAAAAAAGTACAGCAGGAAAGGAGTCTGGCACTCGGCTAACATCTCCGGCGACATGGTCAGCTCTGCTCTGCTGTTGTTGATCTTTCGTAATACTAGCAGTACTCCCTTTGACAACAACAGGGCACTATGATAGCCTAAATATTCACAGGCTTTACTGAAAACCTTAAAAACTTGGAAGGAGTGTTTGTCAGACAAGCAGTCAAGACTGAGACTTATTTTGGTAGCGGCGAATCCCGACAAGAGGGTATCGAGAATGAAAGAGATTCCAAGAAATTTGGGTTTAGACCCAGCATTGCTTCATGAGTAGCAAATTTTTCTTTTATAAGTAGGTTCTCCTGACTACCAGTACAAAATAGAGTGAATTCATCTAATATATATGAACTACTGATAGTCTCGAAAACC